ATACGGCACCATATGGTCGCTTCCTGCACGTGGCTGAGCAACTCCTTGTACAACTCATCCTGCGGGCCGTCCAAGTGGCTCAACGCCGCCTTCGTGTAGGCGTTTTCAGCCCTCAAGTGGTCCAAGATCTCCGTGTTGGAGCGACTGTCGTCGCGGACGTAATAGTACGGATCTTCGAGGTAGATGATCGGCTCCATCGGCTGCTCACCGCGGTTCTCGCCTGGGACCTTGCCATACGGCACCATCTTTGGGCGCTTCTCAAGCACCGGAGGCGTCAGTGAGACTGTCGTCGTCTTGTCTAGCGCTGCAAAGGCGCTCGAGTTCGTTTACATGATCGTAGAAATCAGGTGAAGTTAAATGCGAAATGTCACTGAAATGTCACTGACCGGTGTTTTATCCAAAATTGACTTCAAGCTGGTTTTGGTTGTGACGACCAAAAGTAGCTTGAAGTTGGGATAGACGGTGCCTTTTCGCGGGCCAAACCCACTTGTTCATGTTGCCCCGAAGAATATGTAGAATAATTCCCTCACCAATGAACAGTTCTGCTGGTGCTTCAACCCGAAATATTGTTTCGGAGAGGGAATTATCACATCCGGATACACCTTTGCGCCCGTTGGGACTCCGTCCTACCCCTGGTGAGCACATACGATGCTAAATCTCCGGGGTTAACTGCATTGCTAGTGGTTAGCTATCGCTAACTACTGAGATGCACTTAACCCCTTATAGTAAGTGGTGAGGTGGTCCAAGCATACAAAATTCAAATATTAATAGTACTCTCTAACACACGCAGTTACATACTTGCTTATACACAAAGCACTATTAGTAAGCAGTCAATCATATACGTTCATTGATGATGCCGGTGCTGTCGCCGTCCAAGGTCTGTGTCCTCCCATAGTCGATGTCATTGGTTCTTGACATGGTCGACGGAGCAGTCCGCCGTGGTCGATGTACTGTAGAAAGTACACCGGATAATTCTGGATGACCGGATATTATCCGTAAGTGACCGAACCAAGAACGGCCAAAGTGCCCCTTCTTGACAGTGGCTTGGAGTCGGTCTTGATCTTCACATGTCAACTCCTTGTACAGTACTGAGTAGTGCATACACTATAGTTGCAACATTTGAGGTTGTTGAATTCCGAAAATGGTTGCAACAAATATCGCGAGTAATTCACCTGGTCAATTGAGTTTGGATTCGCGGGAACTTCAAGCTACGAAAAGTAGCCTGAAGTTGTTATGTTGGTAAGAAAGCAGTGGTGCACTACTTTTAATTTCCAAGGCACCGTCTATCCCAACTTTAAACTACTACTGAAGTTATCTTGGTCTGGATGCCACGAAAAATGGCATAAAATGGCCGTTTTCCCAAGAAAAGTTGGCAAAATCGAAATATTCCATTTTTCGAGATTTTGTACGTCTGGATGCCACCAAAGTTAATTACTTTATGCCACAATTTTCTTGAGAATCGAGTGTTTTATGGCATAAAAAAATGGACCGATTTGGTCAAACTTTTTTATGGAGGTTTGTGTTCAC